CCAGCACACTGCTGCCCAAGGGTCTGCCTCCTGGTGCAGCCCGGTGGGGGGTCAAGGCCCCGCTGCAGGCTGGGAGCAGGGGCGGGTGACCACGCCTCCTGCCTCAGGGCAGCGGGTTGGGGGGACCTTGACTAACCCCCTGCCCCCCGCCAGGCCGGCGGGACTCCTCGGGCATCCGCCTGTACTACACGGCCACGCTGCGGCGCTTCGACGCGGGCATCATGGAGCTGGGCCTGGTGTACACGCCCGTGATGGCCATCCCCCCCGGGGAGGCGGCCTTCGTGCTCCAAGGCCCTCCCAGCCTGTAAGGAGAGCCCAGCTGGCGGCCCAGAGCACAGCCCCGAAAGCCCTGCCCGTGTCTCTGGGAGCCACCAGCCCTCCCGGGGCAGGAGCCACGCCTGACTGTGGGCACTGATCCCGTCCCCAGCCCAGTCGTGCCCTGTGCCGGGTGCGAGTGCCACTTCGACGCGTCCCTGCAGAGTGGTGTTGCAGTGGGCGGCCTCCCTGCCCACGGAGGCAGGACGAGCCATTTCGCCACTTAGAGACTCGCCTGGGAAACAGCTCCGTTTCAGGCGAAGGGACATTCGCCCTCCTAGAGGGAAACGCTCACCGTAGCTCCACCACGCAGACCAGACGGCCAGGATCCCGGCGAGGGTCTGGGCGGCTCCCTGGGGAAATGGACTGGCAGCCCCGGGTTCCTCCTCCCATAAGAAAGCCCCTGCCTCTTAGTGCAGGTGTGACGTGGGCGGACCATCTCACCTCCCTGCCCCTCAGTTCTCTCATCTGTGAAACGGGGTAATGCTGTGCCGACGGCGACAATAAAGCTCACACACCGGGTGGCCTGGCTCCCACCAGAGGCCTCGGCTGAGCTCCTTCCCATGCGGCCCTGTGCCCCATGGGCGCTAGGACACGCCTCGCTTCCCTGCCCGCCTCCACCTCCCTCCCGCTGTAGGCCAAGCTCAGCTCTCGGTTTCTGCGGGAAGGAACAAATCAGACTGTTCGGCCAGATCAGCAAAACGCTGCCCGGCCTCCAGGGAGGGCGGGGTGATGGATGGGCCTTCGAGTCCCCACTTACTCCCCAGCAGATGCCAGCTCAGCGGCCTGCGAGCCACTCATCACGGAGCGAACCGTCTGCACTGCGTCCTATAAATCACGCTTCCCGCGCCGAGTCACAGGGCGATCGTGGGAAGTGCCAGAACCGACCCGCCGGCCGAGAGCTATCGCCGCCTTCGCTCATCTTTATAGTCCGGGAGGACAGGCTGGGGGGAGGCCCTCCCTGGGGGCAGGCTTGCCAGGCGGCCTGCAGCGGGCCCAGCCTCTGGCCCTCGTCTCCTGGCCCAAGGAGAAGACCCCTCGCCCCATCGTGCCCACCCGCCCGAGCTCCCCCCTCACCCACCGAGCCCTGCTGGCCATCATGTTGTCCCCAAACACCCAAGCAGCACGGTGCTGCTCCGGGCTCAGCAGAGGGAATCGGGAGAAATGGCTCACCCAGGGTCCCCCGGAGGATTCATGGTGATGGGAAATCACACCCAGTTCTGGAACCTTCCTCCACCCACAGCGACACCACCACCCCCTCTGCTGGCTCTGGAGCTGTCCAGCTGGGCATTCTCTCCCCGAGGGGTGCCTGCTGGGCGACTCCCACACCAACCACTGCCGGCGCCCTACCCAGCCCC